TCTTGTCCTCCTGCCTGTCCATTCCCTGCACCCTTTCATAACAGCCCTCCCTCTCTTACTCCCCCGCTGCACAGTGACCGAAGGGGAGGTTTATCAGAGTCGGCGGCATCAGTGGAGAGGAAGCAGGTGGCGATGGGTCAGAAGATCTCTGCGAGAGGCTGAGGAGACAGATGGAGGAGGAGATTAGGAGGGGCAAAGAGGTGTCTTACTGATAAAATGAAAAGGCAGGCGAGAGAGGGGAGACAGAGACACGCAGAGCGACTGTCCACATGAGGAAAGCAACAAAGTTCCTCACAAAGATTGTGAAAATCCTCTCGGATGACACTCTGGGTGGCCTGCACCTCACGAGGGACCAGGTCAGGTAATATTTTAAGGCTAAGGCTGGAAATATTCCCTGGCAACACTTTTTGTTTTTCTCGTCAAGTCCCGGGAAAAAGACTGAATCCAGGAGATGTGGACCCTGTAACAGGGGTCTGCACACGGCAGAACCTTAAAGGAAGCGGAGCAGTGATCACTGGGTTGAATTACAATACCAGTGCATGTGGTTCACAGATGTTTTTAAAGGACAGCAAGAGAAATCTGGGAAATCAGACTTTTTCACTTAAGTTGGTGCAAAGTTTAGGCCAGCCTTGATATTTTACTACTGACCCACTGAACCTCATGCTCCACAGCTTCACCTGGTTTCATTCTGAGATGTGTTTACAGCTGAGAATACAGTAGGTGTGTTAGGTTCAAGGGCTTTTATAGTGTGTGTGTATTTAAAAAAAAAAAAAAAGGTTATGCAGGGATGATGGGAGCGTGCAAGAGGCACACTAAACAACTTGAAACTTTAGCAAAGAGTAAAGCTCAGCATTAGGAGATGTGGCTACCCCGATCAGGTATACAAGAAGTTATTTAAAGTTTTCATGCAACTTTTTGTCACTCTTCTTTAATCTTCGCTTATTTTGCCTCTGAGATCCTCTGGGGTTTGGGACTCTGCACATCAAATGAGATGTTTTGAGGAGAAAGTCTTAAATACTCCGAGGTTTCTGTGTGTTCAGTTTGTAGAGGGTCGCAAAGCAAGGTCACAGCCAAAGACTTGAAAGCCACATTTGCTACACGGTTTACTACTTATTACTTAGATGATTTTTTTTTCCACCCTAACATTCAGTTGTATACGACATCAGTGCATCACTTTGTACCTATTTCCTGGCAAAGATCCATGAATAAGATCTACTCTGTGTTTCCCGAACCTTTCATCCACACGTCTCACCTTTCCCCGGTGGATGGAGTCGCTCAGCTGTCAAAGAGACATTTTAGTTTGCCGTCGCATAACCCAGACGAAGATTTGAGGGTCCTGTGATAACAGGCGGTCATGCATGTCCCTGTTCAAGGATGGTCTCAGGTGTCCGATGTGAATGACTGCTTTTTATTTTCGTCCAGCCATCCAGGACCTCCCGCTCGACGGCTTTGATCCCTCCCCAGTTGAAAGTGATGAAAAAAAAAAAACAGACTTGCAAGTTCAGAGTGGGCGCTGGGGGACGAGAGAGTGAGATTTAGGAGTGTCGTTTCGAACAAATCTCAGAAAAGACAGAGAGAAATGTTTTCAGCTCTATTTCCCTGCACTATGGGAGGATGATGTCCAACAGCGCTGGAAAAATCAAGTTTAATCTTACATGAAAAATGAGGTGAGGGCATAAAACACCCCCCCCAGCCAATAATTATGTCGTTTTATGGCAACCATGGGTGGTAATTAGGGGACAAAGTGGGCCGGATTCCCTGTCTTTTCCTTCTAATACAACATTGTAAATATAACTGTATCATGTTAAATAACAGCTGGAATAGGATCCGGTCACCCTGTGACCCTGGACTGGATAACTGGAAGGAAGTGGATGGATGAATGGATGGATGGATGGATGGATGGATGGATGGATGGATGGATGGATGGATGGATGGATGGATGG